TAGATAGATAGATAGATAGATACTTAACCACTATATGGATTAATAATTAATAATGGGAAACTATTTTTGGAATTCTGGATGATTGGTGACACTATGGTCAATTGAAAATATGAATGTATATTCTAAATTAATGGGAATCCTTTGTTCTATTCTTTGCTCTTTCTTCTTAGAGATAGGTGATATTATAATACTTTAAAGACTCATAATTAATAATGGGATGATTGGTGACATTATGGTCAATTGAAAAAAATGAATGTATATTATAAATTAATGGGAATTCTTTGTTCTAATCTCCGCTTTTTCTCCTTAGAGATAGGTGATATTATAATACTTTAAAGACTCATAATTAATAATGGGATGATTGGTGACATTATGGTCAATTGAAAATATGAATGTATATTATAAATTAATGGGAATTCTTTGTTCTAATCTCCGCTTTTTCTCCTTGGAGATAGGTGATATTATAATACTTTAAAGACTCATTGTTATTTGATAGATAATTATGAATTCAAGGAAATAAGGATTTTTACAAATGAAAGAATATTAATGGTAATTTGAACACATAATGCTCAATGACAGTGAAATATTCAGTGATGTTTAATGCAAAACCAGTGATTTGTATGTGTTGTTTTGTTTAAAAAGTATATATATATATATATGTGTGTGTGTGTGTGTGTAGAACGGGTTTATTGATTGTATCATTTCTGCACACGTGAAAGCAAAACTAACTCTAATTAATTCCTGCAGTTTTTACATAATTAAAGAATAGATATTTCCCTCCTCCATGTCACAGGTCATATTGTCCAATTAGCTGTTCTGGTGTCTCCTGGGTAATTCCTTCCTGTCTCTGGCCAGCACCTGTTGAAATAACTTTGGTTCCCACAGGATGATCTGTAATTGTCTGGTGTGACATTCCAAACCTCTCCCTCCCCCCAATACTGTGTGGCAAGCTGAGAAACGAAAAGATGGTTGTGGCAGCATACAGTAAGTCTGTTTTGAAGTTGACACAATCATTTCTTCATTATTAATATGTCCTGGTACCGTGCCTTTACTCCAGTCCCTTCTGTTAAATGTTATCATCTTACAAAACTAAGAAATTATGACTTCTCAGGCTGACAACCATTACTTCTCTGGATGAAGACTAATTTGGATTAATTGAAAAAGGTGAAGAAAGAGAGAGAGAGAGAGAGAGAGAATTGTAAGGTGCAGTGTGATAGAGTGGGAACAGGTTTCTTTCATTTTCCACTTCCCTTGCCAAAATTCCTGTTTGCCTGCTCTGCCCATTCACTTTGTGACTCACTCTTTTAAAACTGTGTGCCTTATATGCTCCCAAGTACTCCTCAGAGAAATCAGCAAGACCTATACTCCAGATACAATGTACCATCTCTCAAAAACAATCACAATAAATCATTCAGGAGCAATTAATAGTCAGTTAATCATTCTTTCTATCTTGATTTTTCATTTTTTTGGTACGATTTTTATCATCTTGGAGAGATATGTTCTATGACTGTATGTGCTCCTTGGGTCCACAAGTGCGACCCGTTATTTTTCCTCTTTTCTACTTGAATTCCTTCAGAGATAGGAACAGTAAAACATTTGATCGTTCTGTATAACGCTGTTTCCAGCAGTCTGCTTGATGGCATCATGAACGTCAACCTCCATTTCGGCAAACGCTCTCTCCGTTCTTCTCTGCAACAAAAAGCACCGCATTGTGAGGCAAATTTCTCGGCAACCAGGCAATTCTGTCTGAAGAAGCTCCTGGAATACTGTACTGGGGCAGCTTATCATGTCTTTGAAGAAAGGCGTCATTGTCTGCAATTTTGAGCATGAGCTCCACTGTCCAAATGAATCTCAAGAAACGTTCCAAAGGCCTTCCGCTTTCATTTCCGCTTCGGATAAACAAAATAAAGGGAGACTCTTCCTACGACTCCCGGCTTCAGGACAGCGACGGAAGTAGAACAATGATCAATTTCCTGTGTCCGATGGACAAATCAGGGCCCAGTGACGGCCAAAGAGGTGGTGCCTTCCTTTTCTTCCGTTGCGAACTGCTGTACTCCCGGGATTCCACAGGTGGCCGCGCGTTCTGATTAGGGGAGGGGTGGGCGGTAGTGGGGGGGCGGCGTTCGTCTGTTTTCCACCTCGCTCCTGGCCATGTGTCATGTTATTTACAACTGCCCAGGACCTTATGTAATTACAGGGTAAGCCTGGGGGAAAGGAATTATTGGGAGGAGCTGCGACAGGGAGACAGTGGGCAAAGAAAGTAGCGATGCCACTCCACCCCGGTGCTAAAAAGAACAGTGGGAGCAGTTTGGGTGTACTCGGCAAATAGTATTATCACCGGGATCTTTGGAAGGAGTCTCGCGGTTGCTGGAGTCTATCTTCTAAACCGCTCCGGAATGATCTTGCTGGAACGGAACGTTTGCTACTCCAGGAAGGATAATCAGTATTAGAAAGTTAACACGGGGAGCAGTAGCTTCTGTTTCTTTCACAGCGAACCGGAAAATGTTTCTTCCAAGATTTGGAATCATAGTAGAAAAATAATTAAATTTTGAACTTTTCGACATATGGTAAACACCAAAAGAAATACAAACCGGTCTAAATGGATTTTCGGTCTAGCCAACAAAATCTAGTTATGTATATTAAATCATAATCATAAGCCTTAATATATATCCAATATGTGTGCATAAGACAGAAAGAGATCTTAGCAGGGCCCGTATTTTACTCTTGGAACCTATCCTTGCATCTCCAGAGTTTCCTTTCCATGTTTGGGAACAGTTGTTTTAGCTTGAGTGTTGTTTATGTATTTCTAACGACAATGGTTCATGTCCCACTGGATGTTATTTGGTCTGAAGTAGCTGTTATTGAACCAGATTTATCTATTTTGTGATATACTCTAGTAATACTACTAGGGTGAACAATGGTTTTAGTCCCAGGGGCTAACATTCTTCTTTTCACTTCGACTCCATCATTGTAAGTAAAATAATCTCGTTAAGCAGATTTTCTTTAAATTAGCATGAAAATGTCAGAATGAGAAATATGAATAATTTCCAAAGGCAGAATTCTAAAATGATATCTGAATATTAAAACATTAGTAAACAAATGCAAAATATCAATATGAATTAACCTTGAGAAAATTGCATTTGCTTATATCCATTGATTTGAATCCAACACAATATTTTGTTTATATTATGTTATATAAACATTAACATTTTGTTAATGTTATGTTATGAACATTATAAATGTTATGGAAATGTTATGTATGTTAAGTAAGGTCCTGCACCTAGGCCAATATGTTTGTTTCACAGAAGGTACAAGATGACTGGAAGAGGGCAAATAAGGGGGAAAGGGTATTGAAAAAAATTGGGAAATGGCACAGCTCCTTTGTTGGCTACTTTTCATCTCTTCCTTACAAGGGAGTGCTATCTTTTGTGCACCAACTATTATCTACATATCTGTCTGTATTCCATTGGCACCACAATCTTAACTCCTTTTTTGCTCCTGCAGATTTGTTTTTTCTTCATAAGAAAAAAATATCTCTGTACTCACTGCAAACTGAAATGTTGCAGTCCCATCCCATGAGCCCAACATTCTTGTATCTTACTTAGGTATAGTTGGCAAGTATGTTAATTTCCATGTAGATTGTATCTCTATTTAAAAACATCTAAATTTGAGAGCTGTCTATTATGGATGCCTACTATTTGTAAGGAACAATTATCCCATCTCTTTTCTGAGGTGAAATGGATTCAGTCCTCTAATACACACATACATGTTGAAAAAAAAAAGACCAGTTAACATTTTGGAATAACAGAGTTCAAAGGGATCTGGGAGTGTTCTAGTCTAACCCCCTGCTTAGGCAGGAAAGCTTATATCATTTCAGACAAATAGTTATCCAATCTCTTCTTAAAAACTTGTTCCACTGATCAATTGTTCTGTCAGGAAATTTCTCCTTAGTTCTAAGTTGCTTCTCTCCTTAATTAGTTTCCACCCATTTCTTCTTATCCTGCCCTCATGTGCTTTGGAGAATAGCTTGACTCCTTCTTCTTTGTGGCAGCCCCTGAGATATTGGAACATTGCTATCATGTCACTCCTAGTCCTTCTTTTAATCAAACTAGACATACCAAGTTTCTACAACCGTTCTTCATATGTTTTAGCCTCCAGTCCCCTAATCATCTTTGTTGCTCTTCTCTGCACTCTTTCTAGAGTCTCAACATCTTTTTTACACCGTGGTGACCAAAACTGGATGCAGTATTCCAAGTGTGGCCTTGATTTTGCTAAAGATGTGGAATTTCTATTATTTTTTTACAGATAAGATGTCCCAAGTGGAATCCCAGTGTTAAATGATGGGTACTTTTGAAAAAGTTGTACATGAAAGCTATCACTACCAAAATGGCTTTATTTAAAACACTGTTCTTTTTGTACTGATTATTTATCATATCTATTTTCTGTTAAAGTGTTTTTATATTCTTGGTTGTGAATGTGATATTAGTTGCCCGGATATTCTGATATACTCCGTTTGCCAAGTACTTTTCTTTATAGGAGCATAGAACATGTATTATTCATACTTGAGCAGGGTAATTTCATATGATGTCAGTTTGCTAAACGAAGCTAGATCTTGTTTGTAAGTCAGGAAAATTATTGCTACCACTAATCCCAATGTATAAACCAGGTGTTGGCAACCTGCGGCTCTTTCATCCCCCTGCTGTGGCTCCCTGTTAGCTGAACTCACCACTGGCTGGACCCGCCCCTCCCCTCCCAGTCACTCTTCTCCTGGCCTGAGAAGGTAGGGGCAAAGCGGGAAAAGGAGAGCTCCATATTCCAGAGTGGCAGCAAAACGCCCTTGTAGTTGCCTGGTCTCATTGGTGCTTCTTCCGGCCCTTGTTGGTGCTCTGCACACCTCAGTCGCTCAGGGAGACACATGTCTCACTCTATGCCCCAATACACTGGCCCGGCTGTGGCTCACGCCACTGCTCTTGCCTCCATGGCCTGCCTGCTGCTCTTACAGCACCTTGCGCACCACAGTTAATTTTAGCACACTTCACAATGAAGGAGATGATGCCCCCTTCTCCTACTAAAGCCCACAACACAGGTCATCGACCACAGCCAGGCCGGGCCAGTGTCTCGAGGCAGAGAGCAAGTGGCGCGTCTCCCTGAGTGACCAAGGTACGTGCAGCACCAACAAGGCCCAGAAGAAGTGCCAGTGAGACCCAGCAAGTACAGGGCTTCGCTCCCACTCTGGAATATGGAGTGAGTCTCCATGCCCCACTGTTGCCCTTACCTTCTCAGGCCAGGCAAGGAATGACTGGGAGGGGAGGGCGAGGGTCAGGGTCAGCCAATGGTGGGTTCAGCCAACAGGGAGATACAGCAGAGGGATGAAAGAGCTTAATTTATCTGTGAACCTGAAATGACTCGTTGATTTAAATAATATGGTAAGAAGCACCCTAAGAACAACATCAGCAAAAACACCCTTGCCTGTTTTTGGAAATGGTTCAAGAGGGAACACACATACACGCACAAGAGAGAGAGAGAGAGAGAGAGAGAGAGAGGGAGAGGGAGAGAGAGAGACAGACGGATAGAAAGAGAAGAGAGACACAGAGATGAGAGAGGGAGAGATGAGAGAGAGGCAGACACACACACGTACCTATTTCCCACTGAAAAGAAAAAATCGGGAGCCACAAAACCTGAGTAGGCATGGCTGTGGATGTCATGTGACTGGGTATGAATGAGTGATGTTGAGTTGGCCATGCTCAACCGGTTTTTGTGGCTCTCGGTGTTTTCTGTGGGAAACTGGTCCAAATGGTTCCAAGTGTTTAAGGTTGCAGACCCCTGGTATAAACCATTGTGTACAACAGAAGATACCAATATGCTTATTTTGCAAAGGAACAAACAACTAAGGCCTCTGCCTGTAAAAAGCTAATCTGCTTGGTGGATATAAGATGCTGGATATAAGATGCTTTTTGGTGAACTGGAGAAGAATAAAAATCTATAGAGAAAAGGAAGAGGTATAGAGTGGCAAAAACTGAAATATGAACATTCCACATTGCAGCATTTTGCTAATATTCCATTTGTTTATTATTATTAATGTATTATTATAACAATATACATAAAGCTATACATTTTCTGATTTTTTTCCTGCTTTTTCCTGCTCTAATTATTTTTAGGTGTGTGGCCTGGCAAAGATAAATAATGGACCTCATATCAAGAATTTTACATTTATAGGATCCAATCTTACGTTTATGGTGTAATGAATACACCATTGCATCAAATCTCTGTAATCCCAGCTCAAGATGTTACTTTTTCCAGAGTTTCTAAAAAGAAAGCCAAGAGGAAAGAACAGGTATGGTCATTTCTTTCTCCAGTTAGAAGACACAGCTTTATCTGAAGAGAATTGAGAAGCATAACTTTTTGATCAAAGTTTCCATATGAAATTGCCTGTATTTTTCCTCTAACAGTTTTGACTTTTTAAATATTCTATATTCTTCAAGAAGCTATTACAAGCGGAAGTTCTGAAAATATTTAAGCTGTTACTGGGGGAGAAAAACCTGAAACTTCTCAGCAAATAATTGATCAGTAATAACCAGTATATTTATTGTCAGGAGTTCTGTATTTTTTGTCCACTGAGAATCTCAGGGTGAATGGTGGTGAAATCACTGGAAGGTGAAGACTTGAGCTTTTCAGCCTGCCATATTTTTTGGAGTATAAGACATACCAGAGTATAAGACACACCAAGGTTTTGAAGAGGCAATTAAAAAAAAAAGTTTTTGCACTCTGCAGTCCTCCCAAAATCAGCCAGTTTTTCACGAAAATTGGCCCGTTTTCCCCCACAAAAAGCGGGCATGAATAGCCTTTAGGAGGCTTGTAGAGTGCTCCTGGGGGGGTGCCCCCCCAAAATGAGCAAAAAAATGGCCCGTTTTTGCAAAAATGGGCCCGTTTTTTGTCACAAAAAGGCATGCATAGCCTTTAGGAGGCTTATAGAGTGCTCCTGGGGCTGGGGAGGGGGGCAAAATTGAGCAAAAAACAGTCTGTTTTTCATTCGTTTCTGCCCTTCCCAGCCCCCAGGAGCACACTGAAAGCTTCCTAAAGGCTATGCACGGACATTTTGGTGAGGGGGGCAGGGTTTCAGGAGGCAAAAAATGCTGTATTCAGTGTATAAGACGCACCCAGATTTTCAGCCTCTTTTTTGAGGGAAAAGGTGCGTATATATTTTTATACTCCAAAAAATATGGTATTTTTGTATGCAAGAGTTCTTTTGGGAATAGAGGGGTAGAAACTAGATATATTAAATTTTTAGTAGTTACAAAGCTGTGTAGACTACAAAAATGGTATAGGATAATGAATCAGCTTTTATGTGATTTTATTGATTGCTAACAAAAAAAAAAGAAATATTAAGTGCCTTTAGCAGTTGCGTTATCTCTTATTGTTTAGTTTATGACCAATTTTTACTTGAGTATCCAGGTGATGTGCGCTGAAACCTCAAAGGCTAGAGAAATAGAAACTGTAGTCTAGTTTGGATGAGGTTGCACATGGCCTCTTTTCATTTTTTTCTATTGCTCAGGAAACTTTTATAAGTTTAACTTGCTATCTTGTAAAATATTCTTGAAAAATATCCATTTTTTACATATTTATATCACATATATACATATTAATATTCTGTTCACATAGACCTCTTTATTTTTGACTGGTTCTGCTCCTCTGCTGGTTCTACTGTGTTCTTGTCACCAACTGCATTGCTTCATTGGATTGAGGTCAATTTAGAATCAACACATGTCCAGAAATCCAATGTTGGAATTTTCATAACTCTGCTAGGTCTTCTTCCCATTCCAAACAGCAGTTATTTATAAGGAGTGGCAGTTCTTGCTCCCAGACATAAAGCAATCACTTTTGCCTCAGTGGTAATTAAGTAAATGATAATTTAATGGAAAGATAATATAGAATGTGTAAAAATTCATAACATGACATTTTTGAGCCAGTAAGACAGCAGTTTTTGAGTAATGTATATTAACAATTCATGTATTTCCATCCATGATTGATTGGGAGGGGTGGGATTATATGTAGGTATAGGCAGTGGTAATTAGCTGCTGACAGTTTTCATTCAGAAACAGGTATATGGGGGGGCTAATTCATTTTAGTCTGGTTGCAATTTCTGTTGTGCTATGTACCATTCTAATGATGCTCTTGCCACTACTGTGGTGAGGTCACCTGAGTTCTTTCCTTATACATATGTCGCAAGTAGTAGCTTATAGTTGCAATAGAAAGAAAAGTTGCAGACAGTCAAGGGCATTTAACTTGAATAAGTATTCTAAGATGATAGTTTTTAAAAACTCAAGTACTAAAAAATGTAAAAATACAACTAAAGTACATTGAAGTGGAGAGGTAAATCTGCCTGTAAATGACGTTTTGGTTCCTAGATAACCTGCTTAATTATTTCATATAATTCTTAAATAAGATGAGAGATTTATTGAGTCCAAAGGAACTAATCTACCCTTTGAGTCCAAAGTGTAAATTGATTTAAGTTGTTAAAAGTACCAGTAGTTTCCTTATCAAAGATGTATTTTGTTAATGATATTTATATGGAAGCTTAAGCAGATCAGCAACATCAGGAGAAGGGGCATTTCAGGACTTAAAAACTGCCTACGGAAACCACACAAACTGCAATTGTTTCCTCTGCAGGTCATTGGAGTGCTTTCCCTCCCAGGCAGAATTCTGTTCAAAATAAGCATCCTCAGTTTAAATGTTTTGAGCAATAGCTTGTTTTTATTGAAACTGGAAGGGCTAACTACAGATTCCCTGGTATGAAATCAACTTAACTGATAAAAACAAATGTATTATTTTTTAATTGTTTTGGTAGCCTGCTATTTCAACCTCTTTTCCTGCTCTTTGTGGCTTTTCTCAGGCATCTGCTACACCAACCAATCAGGACATTTGCAGGTGAAGTATTAATTGTCATTGCACTAAAACTGATGACAGTCACAATGTCAGAAGTTATGCTATCTTACAGCTGATGATCTAGGAAATCTTGCAGGACAAATAACAGTTGGTATTGCAATAAGTAGCCACTTATCTTATGTTTTCAAATTGCCATGTTAAAATGTATTAGAAATCGTTGTTAACATAATGTTATATTTTGGTACAATACCTAGTGTTTCCCATAACAATAGCTTTGTAAGATGAGTTGAGCTGAGAGAGAGTGCCTGACCTAGGATCACCTAGGAAACTTCCACAGTGGACTAGAATGTGGATCTTCACAATCTGAGTGCAGCACTTGAATCACTGCACCACAAAACATTTTAGATTCTAAATAGCTGTTCCAACTATAGTGTTTTGAGCTCAAAATAGAGAGAAGTATCATAGAACATTTCTCACAAAGTTCGAACAACTCATTTGGAGCTTGAAACATGTTTCAAGTGTGCTTATTTTACACATCACTACAAGGATACATAAAATCAACAAATATAAGATGTTTTTGGTCAGGAAATACTTGATATTACAAGAATTAAAAATAAACCAAATGATTACACATACATTACTTTAATGTACATTGTGCCAATTTCCAATATAGAGGTGGAATGGGGCAGAGGTGCATGGAGCATATTCTATGGTGGTGAGAACTGGTTCTCATAAGATGTCTTTTTTCTCAAGTGTCCATAATACCTAGAAAAAAGCACATAGGACAGACTTCAACAAATCCTGTCCAGCCATGCTATGCTGTATGTACATGCATATATATGTTTAAATGATCTTGGCATGTAATCCATTGTGACACATGGATTATGCCACCATATTGACTTGCCTATTTAATTCTGCCTTTTTTATGTTTGTAATTTGCCTTCCTCATACTGGCTGAAAATGTCATTTCTTCAACAAATTGTATGTACTCTTTTTAATTTTTTTGTGCTTTTATTCCATTGTTCTGCATGCAGTTCCAGTGCAGTGGGTTTTGAATGTTGTCATCCCAGTCCAGTACAATCTGCTGTTATCTTGAAAAATCTTGTCTGCCAGAATGCTCTGACTCCAGTGGCCACTGTGACAGTAACCTGTCAGAATATGGTGCAGGCTTCCAAGGCAAACTCCCATGGGCATGGACGTGTCTATTCTCTCAAGTCTAACAATGAAAAATCCAGCCATGCTCTGAAATACTCCAAGTCTCTCAGTGATATGGATCAGAAGGCTCCGAATACAATTGACAGATTTAGCTGCATGGAACGTACATGTTCAGAAGGCAGACTTGCCCAAATGCAAGAGCAGTGTTTAAGACTTAACATATGTCATAAGGAGGAGAAATCATTCAGCTTCAGGCCCTTCACTGTTAACAATGGCAGACTTTCATATTTCTGGTCACTCTCGACCAATTACTCAAGCACTTCTCTGGCTACTGATAGTCATAGTGCTGTACGTATTCCTCTCCTGGAGGACAAGTATAGCAACGAAATCTCCCAGAATAAAGATTTGTTGCAGTACCTTTTCTCTTTCTCTCATAGTTCCAAATCAAGCAGTCATGAACTGGATAACAAGTCAAGCTGTCTCCGGCCAGAGAAATCATCCACTGGTATGCTAGAGAGCACAGGTTTCTGTTCAGATGATATGGGAGATGATGATGTCTTTGAGGACAATTCTATGAGGCTGAACAGTACAGCACTACGGGCACCACTCTGCTCAACTGAAAAGGATAGTGATCTAGACTGCCCTTCCCAATTGTCAGAAAATTTCCCTCCACTTTCCCCTGTGTCTGTGTCTGGAGATGTCTGCAGGTTGGTTTATGCCAAACCACTTTCTCTGCCCCCTCCCAGGTGTATGGTAACTTGCTCTGTTCTTTTCATTTTCTCAACCATTCACTTCAGTTCACACTGAGCTTTATTTTCTTCTGAATTTGTCAACTTTTTTGAATGTGCAATGCATTTTGAGTTTTTGTCCTGATGCCATGCTAATCATGTATTTTCTTACATATGTTCCATTTATTGTATGTATAGGAAAAAAAGGATATCAAAAGCAAAGAAGTATTTTATTTCTTCCTGCAAACTTTTTAAAAATACCTATCTCTGAGAAATATATAGTGCTTCACATCTTGGAACAACTGAGTTTCTTGCCCCTGAAACAGATCTCAATTCCCCTGCTTCCAAGCACTCTTCAGTACATAATTGCCTTTTCACCTTTGTGCACATCTCTTTCTTTTCCAAAAATAGCCTCTCCTGTTTCAGGTTAATCCTCAACCAGGACAGGTTCCCTGCTTGTCTGCATATGCCATCATCTCCCAGTATCCTGGGACTCTTGAGAAAGAGAGTGGCACTGATATAAAAGGACTTCCCTTGTACCCACAATTTTTCAGAGGTCATCCATGTGTCTCACTGAATTTTCTACAATGTTACTTGTGTAATTCAGGACATTTGATAATAATAGTGAGAAGTGCTATCCCACAATTTTGAATACACATTTAACTTCCTCTGAAACTTTTGGTCCTGGGGATTTGTGGTTCAGTATGGAATCATGGCTATACCAAACCTGTGCCAGAGTTTTGTGCGAAAAGTTTTGTGCAAAGCAAGCTGAGATTGTTGCTTGCTAGTTGCTTTTGTGGCAGGAAGTTTATAAATGGTTATCCCAGAAATTCCAAGGAAAATATTTTAAGCACATTTCCCTTCCATCAACATTTAAAAATGTGAAAATTCAATTTTCATGTTATTTTAGATTATAATAGTGTTTTAAAATAACCAATTTTCCACGTCAGGCACATAATTGTCGATGAAGCGCAGCAGTAAGTAAAGCCCTATTAGCCTTGTTGAAAAGTTAATAGCAATGTCCTTTTTATCCTTTCCTTTTTTTACAAATTTTTATTTGATTATTTTGTTCTTATAATTAGAGAGAAGCAAGAATCAACATTTTACTTTAGCCTAATTGAGTAGTTATTTCAGACTCTGAAATATGGTCACATATGATCTCAAATAATTTATTATTCTTTGATATTGTGCCTTTTTTCAACAAGACATTTTTCTAGTTTAGACCATAGTTGTCTTTTCTTTCCCGTAATAAATTGCTATGTTCTTGTCATAGGATATGCCATTGTGAAGGAGATGATGAGAGCCCATTAATTACTCCCTGTCATTGCACCGGAAGCCTTAATTTTGTCCATCAAGCTTGTCTGCAGCAGTGGATCAAGAGCTCAGACATCCGTTGCTGTGAACTCTGCAAATATGAATTCATCATGGACACCAAATTGAAACCTTTAAGAAAAGTAGGTCATGGAATGATACTATAGAGTGAAATATAATTATGAATTTCCTCTTTAGCACAGATTACTGCTGTTTATACATTTAAAATTTAGATTACAATGGAAGAAGGCGCTGTTGTGAATCTTCACATAAAAAAACAGTATTTTGTGAAGCAAAGTAGAACATTAAGAGGATCTCTGTGTTAAACTAATGCTTTTGAATCATAAGGATATTCTTTTTTAAAGCATAAATGAGAGATAATAATTATCTCTGTTCATTTGGAAAGGTGACCATCTGCCCAGAAGAAAGAAGCAAGCTGAGGTGACAGTGACTGTGGGAAAAGTAAACAGAGTTTTGGGAGCAGTTGTATCTATTGCCTCTGATAAATAGCAATAGCACTTAGGTTTACCATATTTTTTGGACTATTAAGACATCCCAGACTATAAGATGCACCTAACTTTTGGGGAGAAAAACAAGGGGAATAAATCTGCCTCTGCCTCCCAGCATCCATTCAGTATTCATCAGATTTATTTGGTGTGGCCCATTCATCACTGTTGCGGCCCGTTTGCTGCAGCCTGTTATTCACCCCTGCTTGTTCACCACGGCCCATTCACCATGGCCCATTTCCTGCCACCAATTCGCCATCTCCCATTTTCTGTCACCTATTCACTGCGGCCCATTCACTGCAGCCCATTCTGTGCAGTCCATTTGCTGTGGCCTATTCGCCACAGCCCATTCACCTTCGCGGCCGTCCATTCTAGAACAGCTGATTGGCACCACACCAACCCCAATATTTGGAGTATAAGACACACAGACATTTCCACCCACTTTTGGGTGAAGGAAAAGTGTGTCTTATACGGCGAAAAATATGGTATGCACAACTTCACAGTACTTTACAGTTTTACAGAGTCAGCATATTGCCCCCGGCAGTCTGCATCCTAGCTATTTTATGACTGGCCACATCACAGTTGCAACAGTTTGTAAATTGGAAGCAGCTATTTGGGCACCAGGTCCAGCCTCTGCCTAGCATAGATAATATCTGAGAGATAATCTTGCTAGAGCAACAGAGAAAGCACCAGAGGTGGTATTCAGTAAGTTCTGACCAGTTCTGGAGAACCGGTAGCAGAAATTTTGAGTAGTTCGGAGAACCAGTAAATACCAACTCTGACTGGGCCCACCCCCATCTATTCTTTGCCTCCTGAGTCCCAGCTGATCGGGAGGGAATGGAGATTTTATAGTATCCTTCCCTTGCCACACCCACCAAGCCACGCCATGCCCACCAAGCCACGCCCACCAAGCCATGCCCACAGAATCGGTAGTAAAAAAAAAATCAATCCCACCACTGGAGAGCACCTACTGTTTTTTACAGTACTGGTTAACCTACAGTTTTAATAGCTAAGATTTTTTTTAGTGTCAGAGGCGTCTGCTTGTAGTGAAAATCTTTTATTTCAGGAATGAAGCAGGAATGAAAAAGGATAATTCCTAAACCGTTTCTACATGTCATCATTTCTCTGCATATGAATGAAGTTATTTTTTTCACAATTTCTTTTTCCAAGGCTATGATTGATAAGAAACAAACTGACAAACTAAAAGACAAAAACGTGAAGTATAAAAAGTGGAAAGGGGGGAACATAACTAAGGCAGGATATCAGCAAATAGCCTGTAAAGATGAAGTAAGGAAATCTAAGGCTCACAATGAAGAAAGGCTTGCCACAAAAGTAAAAAATAACAAAAAAAGCTTCTTCCAACATGTTAAAAACAAGAAAAAAGTTAAGAAAAAAATGATCCATTGCTGGGAGAAACTGGCAAAAAGGTGACAAGCAACAGGAAGAAAGCAGAACTATTTAACTCATGTTTTGCATCTGTCTTTACACAAAGGAATAAAACAGTCCA